ATATATATATATATATATATATATATATATATATCTAAGAGATTTCACTTCAGTTGGTTGAAATTTCAGCAGGGCCAATTATTTTGAAAGGCAACATCAAATTTCTCCACTAGTTATCTTTAAGCAGTGGCAGGAGAAGCTTTCCTCGTCTTATTTAGAGCTCCGTTTCCCGTCTAACAAATTGAAGCAACAACAAAAACCAATGCTGTAGAGAGAGAGAGAGATAGCAAGACATAGAGAGAGAGCAAGAGACAGAGAGAGATGGGAAGGAATCCGAGCTGTTCGAAGGAAGGGCTCAACAAGGGAGCATGGACTGCCGTCGAAGACAAGCTCTTGATTAAATACGTCAATGCTCATGGCGAAGGCAAATGGACGACGGTGCCCTATATAGCCGGTGAGACTTTCTAGTCTGAATCATATATAAATAAAAAAAATTACTAAGAATTAAAAATATATAAAAATATACCGTTGTTCCTTTAAGAAACTATATGTCTCTTACATATAAGATGACATATACAAATGCTTATTTTATTCTGTCATTTGAGAGAAGCATTACTCCGAATTGTCAGAATTCAATCAGAATATTATATATTCATCAAAAACTCCTTTTTTCTTACTCTTTTTTTCCAAATACAATGCGAGAATTTCATGCTGCACTAAGAATGCATTAAGAAAAAAATATGATTTAAAATCATAGTAATATCCACTTTCTGTATAAATAAAGTGAATAAAAAGCACTTTATTAAAAGCATTAAGCCCAATCCACAAGGTTGTTAGCGCAGGGATTAGCCTGAGAGTATTGTATGAATGTGTATTGCAGAAAGATTATGGTATCACTAAGTGTTATTTTTAAGGCTTAAAAATGTACAGATCAGTAAAGATAGTTATTTAAACATTTCTTCTATAGCAACTAGCTAGAGCCATTTACAGACAGAGCGCTATTCTCATGTTTTTCATGCATAAATTTGAAAAATCAGTGTTATAAACGTTTGTAAATATGAAGTTTTAGATGCCAGATAAATAAAGACATAAGAACTGTGTGCTATAAACGTAAATAATTTCCCAAAAATTTTTTATTACACTAACCATAACTATATAAAATTAAACATATTGACAAAAATGTTGCCTTCATTCACACTTTTAAAACATGATTGATTACAAATGAACGTGGCCGTGCCACAGCAGCATAAATAATATTTTTTTTATAGCATAAATTTACACTCTTATAACCTTATAATCAAATTAATATTATACTCAAAACCTTAAACTCGTACCACCAACCTCTAAAATATATTATAGAAATTTATACATACATACCACCCAATCTCAATCTATTTACATACCTAAACACCTTAACAATACTTTTTTCTACACTTATATCATGCAAATCCTTCATATTACAACAAAATAATTAAAAAAAAAAAACACTTTCTTAACTCCTAAAATATAAAATATGCCTTCGCATGCATACAAAAGATGATACACATAGGACTTGTTTGGTCTGTATGTCCGTTTGGGGTAGCTTAGTTGGTGCGGTGAAGTTTTGAAAATGCATCTGACCTGCTTTGTTAGACTGTGTTTGACAGCTTATGCGTTTTCACACCACTGGCTGCTGTCCGGCTTTTCCAAAAAAAAATAAAAATTTATAATAACTACCGCATCTAGCTTATCAACAGATTATTTTTCATCAGCTTATCAACATATTATAGCTGCCCCAAACAAATATTCCTAATTTATTACATATATTTTTCACTTTTCAATTTAAAACATGTATTACTCCTTAACGAAAGAGGAAATATTTAAAAAACTAACATAATTGGGAATGAAACTGATGAACTAGGGCTGAAAAGGTCGGGCAAGAGCTGTCGTCTTCGATGGTTAAACTACCTGAGGCCAAACGTCAAACGTGGGAACTTTTCTGAGGAGGAAATCGACCTCATAATCAGGCTGCATAAACTGCTCGGCAATAGGTTCGCTTTCTGATTGCCCTTATTTTACGTACTTGTACGTCAGCAAAAGCATCTATTGCTCTCACATATGGCATATATATATCAAATGCGTACTTAATTGTAGTTGTCCTTTTGGGTTGAATTTTTTAATTGGTATATTCCTGTTGATTAGGACTGACTTATTGCTCCAGCGCCATAAGTGATTCTTGTTGTCTTCCTATGTGATTCATGTGCGTCTATGTTGCACAGAAATAGAGACGTTGACGCCATATAATAACAAAATGGTTATATATATATATATATATATAGGGTTGCCTTTTTGGGCCCACTCATACAATCTATCTGTATCTTTTTTATTTTAATATATTAGCCCTTAGGAATATATATATATATATATATATATATAGATATTGAAGAGATAAACTCTATTATTCATGTTTATGCCAGCCAAATATTTTATATCACATAAGAAATATCACAATTTTAATTTTTTAAAAGTGAAATAGGCATTTTTGAGTTTAAGGTAAGGTGAGATATATATGTTAAAATTACAGTTTCGGTGTTAGATATGTAAATATTTATCAATTGAGTGATATGTGCTTAAACCACCCTGACTGATAAGTAAAGTTGGCCGGAGCTTAATCTTCACACATGGACAAACACACACACTTTAGTTTTGCATTGTCCAAAAGTATGTAGACATTGAATAAAAATGTTGTATTTTTTTTGAGAAATTTGAATGAATTTAATTATTTTAATATTAAAAATGTAAAAATTATTTTAATTTTTGATTGATTTTAATTTTATTTCTATAAATTAGTTTCTATTTTTAGTTATTATATATATTTAGGGGTGTAAATTAACCGAACACGAACGAATAAAACGTGTGTTTGTGTTCGGTTCGTTTGAAATTTAGTTTGTTTGAAATAAGCTCGTGTTCGAAATTGTTCGTGAAGTCACTGTTCGTGTTTGTTTCTTAACGAACGAGCCGAACACGAGTTGTTTGTGAACGACGAGCCAGTTTGGTATCTCTTATATTAATATAAATAAATAATATATATATTAGTATATTACGAATATAGTATATTAATATATTATTATTATTAACTTATTATATATTATAATTTATAAAATTTAAAATTTTAAAATATCATAAATTTTTTATATATAATTATTTTAAATTATTTTATTTTTCGAACAATAACGATTCAAACACGAACGAACACATCACCGTTCGTGTTTAGTTCATTTAACTAACCGAACAAAAAAAAATTGTTCCAAGTTCGTCTCGTTTACTTATCGAGCGAATCGAACACTAACTCATTGACGATATTTACGAACTGAACACGAACTGTTCGCGAACAATGAGTTATTTTGACAGCCCAGTATGTATTGTGCTATAAGTCAATATTGGGCATCTTAGTGAGTATTTTCATGAGCTATAAATGAAATTTCTTTTTTATTTAATTTGTTAATTAATTTTTTAAATATTTTAATTACTTGAAAATGTTAAAGTAGTTTAATTTTAAATTAAATTTTTCAGTATATTTTTTTATAATTATACTAGTTTTCTAAGTCACTTATAATTTAGTATTTTACAATATTAATAAAATAATTAATATAGATCTCTTATACATTTTAAAATATATTATTATTAGATAGTGTTATAAATAATAAACTAATTGAGCTCAAAATTTATATTAGTATTTATTTTGATTATTTAATAAATAAATCAAATACAAATTTTTTAATGAATCCAACAAGTTATTCAGAAACTGCTCACGACCGGCAAGCTTTTTTAATGGCTCTAATCATTTGTTGGACAAATTTAAGGTACCCAGGGAGTGCACGTATGCTATGAAATATTAATGCATCATAAATACGTACATACATAATATGAAAATCAAATAAAATTAAAAAATAGGCTAAAATTGATTTGAGTCACGAGCCTACCAAGCCTACAGACATACTAGCTGACGTACATAATCAACGTGGATGGGTCCCCTGTGCCTGCAGGGATTGATTGGTTTTACTATAAATCCCGTGCGAAGTCAAGCATACAAGGCACGTGCGAATTTTTTGAAAGGCTTTAAATACAAATTACCATGTTTTCTCCTTACACTTTGGACCACTAAATTTCAAAAAATTATTGCATACGGATATCGCATGTGTCCGATCCTGATCGTAGATCACGGTGATCTACGTTCAGGATGTATTTCAATTTTTTTAAAAAAAAATTTAAGTGTGGCTACCGAAATACATTCTGACCGTAGATCACCGTGAACTACGGTCAGGATCAGACACCGCATACAGAGATGCATGCGGTGTCCTGTCCGTATCCAATAATTTCTCCTAAATTTCTATTTATTGTTTATAAGTGATGAAAATGAAGTGTGGCTTAAAGATGAATATTGTTGAAGGGAGTTTGAGTGATTATATATAAAATTTAGATTTTATTTTTTATGTTTATATTATCAAACTTTCTCATGTCATGTAAAAATGTCATCATTTTAATTTTTAGAGAGTGAAATGCGTTATCTTGCAAGCTAAGGTTGTATATATGTAAAAATTGAAGTTTAGGGGTTAGACATGTAAATAGGTAGGAATTGGAGGTGTCCATGTAAATATTCCTATAAATTATTTATTAATATTATTTGTTGGAATCTAAATTGCTCTTTGTGACTCACAACTCGAGAGTTAGAGCCGAGTGATGGAGAAAAAAGAAAAGAGAGAGTAGGATAAGCCTGAAATTTCTATAGAAAGAATAGAGGAGGGGTCTCTTTATTCGTGTTTTTGCCCCGTCTTATAAATGTGTGTTTTTTACAATTATAGAAATGAGGGAGGGATTATGAAAATCGTTCTTAATGTCATTAAGACTTTAACTGATTGTATAAAATTTATGTCATATTTGCATTACAATTTGAATTTCAATATTGGCGTTAATTGGTTGGTCGGCTAACTTGAAGTTAGTTGACTAAGGCGACCGGCCGAACAACTTTTTTGCTCTCTCAAGTACGTGTTGGTCAGTCGAGATGTTCGGTTGCAAGGAGATCTGACTCGTGTAATTTGGCACAGTCGACCAAACCGACCAATTGTGAGGTGGTCGTTCGGTCTAGACACGAGGATGGCCAATTGAATGTGATCATTCATCTTTTATTATTGAGTAAGTTGTGGCTCAATTTCCATTCGGCTCGAGTCTTATAGGGCTCGTGTATCGCCTGCGTGGTTGGTTCGTCGCCTTGGCAGAATCACCCAATCTTGTAAAGTCTTAGGCGTATCTTGTCGCGGCTTATGCAGGATATTCGATGAGATTGTTTGTCAGGATGATTTACACCTCACTTTTGGTGGGTCTTATCGCTATCGCGTGGGGACCCATCTCTAGAGCTCGAACCTATCCCAGGTTTAACGATGCGACTTCATGCTCGGTCATGAATCGCCGGTTGGTTGATTACCTCGAGAGGAGGTTATTTAATCTCGGTCATTCATTCTCTTTGAGATTTGTGCCGGTATTTTTGGTGTATTTATATTAGTTCTCGGGGTTTTCATGCTTTTTTATAGCATTAACTACAATAAGAACAAGAAAATTATTAAAAAATCATTAACAATAAATTTGGGAATTAATTGAACACATGACTTCCATTAGAATTATGTGCCTCGTGTGCTTTATAAATTGACTTGAACTTAGCTTTGTATCATTTGTCGTTAGTTTCTCTTTTTACTAGTGAAATGTGTTATGGTTGATAAATCGAACCGGATTGTCATGGATCCTAAGAGGCTTGCGAGGGCGGGGTTTCAGATCCCCTATTCTATTAAGAAGAAGAAAGTGGTGATAAAGGAAAAATGAGCAAGGCACGAATCTAACCTGATCGACGTAGTCGACTCATTTGATAACGTGGAAGGTCAGTCATTGAAGAGGCTTCACCGAGGGGCTTTGGAGTTTGGTTTGGGTGTTCGTGTTGAGGGAGAAGCAGCTGTCACGATCCTCCTATAGTCACTGTCGCATGAAATTGGTGACGCTTTAGTGCCAGAGGGAGAGGAGGGCTTTAAGAATATCTCCTTCATGGAGAGATTTATGGATGAATTGGTCATATCGAAGGAATACTGGAACAGTGGGCTATCGAAGAATGCTACCAAGTCTTCTCTAGCATGGTGGTTGTTATGCAAGTTGGAGAAGTGGGACTTCCGCCATTGTTGGCTCTAGAAATTGTTCAGCTGATTGACCCATCGTCGGTTATGGATCTCCAGCTGGAGGTACCCTGGGGGCAAGTGCAATCCCCGAGATCATGGAGGAGCGGGTAGGCGAGACCGGACTGTTAGTGGCGCCAGTCAGCCCTTTCAATGGAGTCACCGAGGATTCGACTACGGATCCTGCACAGAAGTTGTCTACTCGTTGGATGTTGAAGTAGCGGTTCTGCGGATGGAGCTCATCACTCTTCGAGGCGGGCTAAACAAGTGGTTGCGCTAGATGGAGGTAATCCGTGAGATTTTTGATATGGTGATATTCAACCAGGAGTGTGATCGGGTGGATCAGGTTAGGTTAGTGGAGAAATGATTCTCCTAAAGTTGAGGGGGCATGTCCTCCAAGGTCTCGGAGGACCCCTTTATAAAACTATTCCATCAAGGTTTGTAATAATGTTCTTCGCAAATGAATTTTGGATTTTTGGTGTGATGCTTATCATCATGTGATGCATCTTTTAACGCACTCTACTTATAAATAGAAGAAGGGGCTGCTTCTTTTCATCTTACGTGCTTTTAATTCCTTTATTTTTCTCTGGTTTTCTATTCTCCTCTCATCCTTCGATTGGTTCTACTTTTGTCTCTTGAGATGACCCCCAAACATTCGTAGGTCTTATTTGGCTTTGTGAAGTGAACTGGTCCTTCATCTCTGATAGAGAATGAATTGAAGGAGCTACGACGAATGTATGTTCTTGATGAGAGCATAGATCTTCAGAAGCTGCCTAGATCGACACAAGCGATGGATCATTTTGGAATAGTCCTATTCTTTTATCAAGATCAGTTTA